GGCATTGAAAAGGCAAATCTTTGTTTATCTTGTGGTGCCAAAGGAATGGTGAAGAAACAATCCTTAAGATCTACTACTAGAAAAGATCAATCTAGAGGGATTTGTGAAGGCGCTGGGACTCCAGGCTATAAAGCTCCCATGGTATGCATAATAGCATTAGCAGCTCAAAATCATGCAACAATCGCCATTTTCCAGCTTCCTTCTTATGTATTGTAAATACAGGAGTATTCCAAGGACTATTGGAAGGTTATATATGACCAGTCTCTACTTGTTCCTGTATTAATTTGTGAGCATGATTTGATTTCTCCTTGGTTAATGGCCACTGATCCACCCATATAGGCCTATCATCTTTCCATTGTATAGGATCAGCATGGGGGTGAGGAGATTGAGCAGTGACCACTCCTAAAAAGGCTGATATTCTAATCTTTGTTTTTCTATGTTTTCTTTGCCTGAATGGGTACTTTAATCTCCTGATTATCTTTTCCTAAACCTTGAACAGCTTGATATCCTATCTGAGTTGTTAACGGTTGTCCCTTGCTGGTAATAATACAAGCTTGTAAACCTTCTAAAACATCTCACCCCACAAGTTGACTACTTATCTTGCCACTTTAACACTGCAGAGCTGTGTTGAGTGTTATCAGGAATTCCAATATCCATGATAGAGCCTATAGCTTCTACCACGGACCAACTTGAAGGCTAGAATTCTTGACTGATGACATTAATATCTGCTCCAGTTTCTATTAATCCTTTAAAGAGTTTTTGTTCTATTAGATTAATCATAGGGTGGGTTTTGCTAATTTCCTCTATCAAATATATATCTGACCTTCCAAATCCTTGTGTCTCTCTCTTTCTATTTATAACTTCACCTTGCTGAATATTGAAAGATGAAACAGTGGGGGCTGGAGACCAACATCAAGACACAGGCTTTCGCCCCTAAATGACGCCCCTTCTCAGCTGGAAGCAGTTATGGAAGATATACCTTTACCTCTTTACCTTGCCCGAAGCCTCAATTTTTAAAAATATTACCAGAAGCTTGGAATGGTAGATCCTCCCTTCCTCCAACTGATGGATGGAGAATGACGTAAACTCCATCTGCAGCTGGACATTCCTGAGCACTGAACCACCAATAAGCACCTGCCAAATACCCTAAACCCCTGATTCCTAAGTCCCTAGGTCCCTAATCATATGACTTACATAAACCCACCAACCAGTGTGTGCTGAGTGCCCTAAGCCCCATCCCCTCTCTTTTCTACCCTTAAAAAGGTGCCTGCACCCAGCCCTCGCTCTCTTTCCTCTCTTTCTCCTCTCTAAAGCAGCCAGCAGTGGTACTCTTCTCTTCAATAAAGCCTGTTTCCTGGCATCCTGGTCTCCTGCCTACTCTGGTTCATCTTTCAAATATAAGGTAAAAGCAGAAGCTGAGAATGAATGGGCTGGAGAGGGAGAAAATGGTGGGAGAATAGACAGACATGTTCTAAGCATTGTCCCAGAGCAGAAAGAAAGAACAGCTGAGGATCACACTGGGAGTGTTTGTTACCAAGATAAGAGATAGGCGAAATTCAGGAGGAGGCAGAGGACTGCTTGATGGGGTTGTCCTGACAGGGAAGCACCCACGGCGGCTGGGTCCCCTCCAGGAACTATGGGCTCAGATGGGGAAATCTTGCCAACTTGAAAGGAAAAGTGGATCTTATCAGAGGCCTGAATATCCACAGCCAAAGTGGCTGCCAAATAACTGTGAGTCCCAGAACACTGGTCCCAAGTGGTATGAACACTTGGATTCAAAGGAGCTCTCCACTGCACAAGAGAAAGGAGAGAGAGAAATATATAACCAGACATCCTGAGAAGAGAGACCATTGGGAGACAAAGAAAGAGCCCTCATATGAAAGACAAGCAGGCATCACCAGTAAAGGAAGTAAAAGAATTAGAGAGAAGCAACCTATAAGAGCAAGAATTCAGAGAAATGGTCATAAGGTGGCTGAAAAGGATGGAATAACAAAGATGAAATGAGAAAGAACCAAGAAGAAATAAAACATGACATCACTGCTGTAAAGAACTCAATAGAAAGCATCAAGAGTAGACTAGAAGAAGTAGAGTACTTCTGCTTCAATGAGCTAGAAGACAAGATGGGAAAAAATACCCAAGTAGAGCAGCTTGTAGGGGAAAAAAAAAAAGAAAAGCAGGAGGAGAGCCTAAGGGAACTGTGGGACAACACAACACAACACAAAACAAGATGCACATAATAGGAGTAACAGAAGGAAAGGAAACTGAGGAAGGCATAGAAAATCTGTTTCAAGAAATAATGACAGAAAACTTTCCTGATATAGGAAAGAAAACACACACACACACACACACACACACACACAAACACACACACAGAGAAATCTAAGAAGCTCACAGAGTCCCAAGCAAAATAAACCCCAAAAGACCAATGCTAAGGCACATTATAATTAAATTGGCAAACACCAATGACAAAATAAAAATCTTACAAGTGGCCAGAGAGAGACGGAAACTTACAGGAACCTCCATCAGACTAGCAACTGCTTTCTTAACAGAAACTCATCAGGCAAGAAGGAAATGGAATGAAATATATAAAATCATTCAAAAGAAGGGTCTGAATCCAAGAATACTATACCCAGCAAGGCTATCAATCAAAATTGAAGGTGAGATCAGGAGCTTCACAGATAAAAAAGGACTAAGGGAATTTATTACCACCAAACCAGCAATTTACAGGGTGTGCTGTAAATAAATAAATAAATAAATAAAAGGTAGTAAAGAAGTAATACATGGGTAAAGAATAAAAATGGTGATAAATAAGACCTATCAATAATAACTATAAATGTAAGTAGATTAAATGCCCAAATCAAAAGATATAGGGTAATGGATTGGGAAAAATAAAAAAAATAAAAAACCATGTCCCATATATCTGCTGTCTACAAAAAAATCTATCTCAGAAAAAAAGACGCACAGAGACTGAGGGAGAAAGGATGGAAAAAGGTTTTTCAGGTGAATGGAAATGAATAAAAATCTGTGGTAGCAATGCTTATATCTGATAAATTAGATCTCAAAGTGAATGATATAACAAGAGATAAGGAAGGCCACTTCATAATATTAAAGGGAGCAATCCAACAAAAAGAAATAACTCTGGAAAACGTATATGCACCCAATACAGGAGCACCCAAATACATTAAAACAAACAAACAAACAAACAAAAAACTCCTGGAGATATCAAGGGAGAGATTGACACCAACACATTCATAGTAGGAAACTTTAATACTCCACTATCACTATGGGACAAATCATATAAACAAAAAATCAGCAAATAAACATCAATCCTAAATGACACACTAGACCAGATGGAATTACTTGATATCTTCAGAACATTTCACCCCAAAGCCACAGAAAATACATTCTTCTCAAGTGCACATGGGTCATTTTCAAAGATAAACCACATGTTGGGACATAGACAAAGTCTCTCCAAATTCAAGAAGATAGAAATCACATCAAACATCTTCTCAGATCACAGTGGCATAAAACCGTAAATCAACTGCAATAAAAATAATCCAAAGCAATCAAACACATGGAGGCTAAACAGCATGCTATTAAACAATGACTGGGTTACCATAGAGATCAAGGAATAAACAAAAAAAATACATTATGGAAACAAATGAGAATGAAAAGACAACAAACCAAAATCTATGGGACACAGCAAAAGCAGTGTTGAGAGGAAATTTCATAGCTCTTACAAGCCTACTGCAAAAATAAGAAGCAATGGTAATGAATTACCTATCTCTACAACTCAAAATGTTATAAAGAGAGCAACAATAAAAGCCCATTGTAAGCAGAAGGAATGAAATAATAAAGATCAGAGCAGAGATAAACGACATAGAGACCAAAGAAACAATACAAAAGATCAACAAAACCAAGAGCTGGTTCTTTGAAAGGAAAAACAAGATTGATGAAACTCTAGCCAGACCCACCAAGAAGCAAAGAAAGAGGACCCAAATAAACAAAATCAGAAATGAAAAAGGTGAAACAACAACAGACCCCACTAAAATACAAAGGAATTTTGCAAAATACTACAAACAACTTTATTCCAACAAACTTGACAACCTAGAGGAAATAGAGATATTATTGGAAAAATATAACAATCCAAAATTCACTCAGGAAGAATCCAAATAGTTCAATAGGCCAGTAACTATGGATAAAATTGAAGCAGTCATCAGAAAGTTTCCAGCAAACAAAAGCCCAGGTCCAGATGGCTTCACAGGAGAGTTTTACCAAACATTCAAGGAAGAACTACAACCTCTCCTCCTCAGACTATTCCAAAAAATTCAAGAGGAAGGAACTCTTCCAAGATCATTTTATGAAGCCAGCATCACCCTAATACCAAAACCTGATAAAAACAACACAATGAAATAGAACCACAGGCCAATATCCTTATGAACTTAGATGTCAAAATCCTCAACAAAATTATAGCAAATCGGCTCCAGCAGTACATCAGAAAGATCATAAACCATGACGAAGTAGGATTTATCCCAGGAATGCAAGGATGGTACAATATTTAAAAATCAATAAATGTGATACATCACATAAATGGAGAGATAAAAATCACATAGTCATATCAATTGATGCAGAAAAAGCATTTGACAAAATCCAACATCCCTTCTTGATAAAAACTCTCAACAAGGTGGGAATAGTAGGATCATACCTCAACATAATTAGAGCCATATATGATAAAACTACAGCAAACATCATTCTCAATGGGCAAAAACTAAAACCATTTCCCCTAAAAACAGGAAAAAGACATGGATGCCTACTATCGCCTACTATAGTACTGGAAGTATTAACCATTGCAATTAGACAAGAAGAAGAAATAAAAGGCATCCAAATTGGAAAAAAATAAAACTGTCCTTATTTGCAGATGATATGATATTGTATAATACATTAAAAAAAAAAAAAAACCCAAGAGGTCCCACACAGGCAAAGTCAAACAAGAGCCCACCATGTATCGTGAGGGGCCCCCTTACCAGAGGCGAGGCTCCCTTCAGCTGTGGCAGTTCCTGGTTACCCTTCTGGATGACCCGGCCAATGCCCACTTCATTGCCTGGACAGGCCGAGGCATGGAGTTCAAGCTGATAGAACCAGAGGAGGTTGCTCGGCGCTGGGGTATCCAGAAGAACCGGCCAGCCATGAACTACAACAAGCTCAGCCATTCTCTACGCTATTACTATGAGAAGGGCATCATGCAGAAGGTGGCCGTGGAGCAATACGTATACAAGTTTGTCTGTGACCCGGATGCCCTTTTCTCCATGGCCTTCCCTGACAACCAGCGCCCTTTCCTGAAAGCAGAGTCTGAGTGCCACCTCAGCGAGGAGGATACCCTGCCGCTGACACACTTTGAAGACAACCCCGCTTACCTCCTGGACATGGATCGCTGCAGCAGCCTCCCCTATGCTGAAGGCTTCGTTTACTAAGTTTCTGAGTGGCTGAGCGGCCAAACCCTAGAGCTAGCAGTTCCCATTCAGGCAAATGAGGGCAGTGGTTTTGTTTGTGTTTTTGGCTGTTCCTAAAACTTGCCCTTTGAGTATTATCTGGAGGACCCAAGCTGTCTCTGGATTGGCACCCTTAAAGACAGATATACCTTGGCTGGGGAGTGGGAACAGGGAGGGGCAGAGAAACCTCCAGACGGCTGGTGCCTCAGCTCTAATCCTGACAGGGTTTCTGGGAAGAGATTGCAATGGAGCCTCCTTCCCATGGACAATATATGCAAAGCAATACCTTGTTCAGGTTGGCACCCACCAACTGGGGGAGAGCGTGACAATCTGCATTGATCGTGGGCTACTAAATGCCTTTACCTAGAAGGGCAAAAAAAACAACAACAAACAAACCAAGAGACTCTGCCAAAAACCTAATGGACTTAATAAATGAATTCGGCAGTGTAGCAGGATACAAAATCAATGCCAAGAAATCTATGGCCTTTCTATGCACCAATTGTGAACTTACAGAAAGAGAGACTATAAAAGCAATCCCATTTACCATAGCACCAAAAAAAACTAAGATACCTAGGAATAAACTTAACTAGGGAGGTAAAAGACCTATTGTGGAATACAACAGGACAGTGAAAAAAGAGATAGAGGAAGACATAAAAAGATGGAAGAACATACAATGTTCATGGATTGTTAAAAAAAAATCATTAAAATGTCCATACTACCCAAAGCAATCTATAGATTCAATGCACTCTCTATTAAAATACCAAAGGTATACTTCACAGACCTAGAAAGAACACTTCAAAAATTCATCTGGAAGAAAAAAAAAAGACTTAAAATAGCCACAGCAATCCTGAGAAAGAAAAACAAAGTAGGAGGGATCTCAATACCAGATTTCAAGCTATATTACAAAGCTACTGTTCTCAAAACAGCCTGGTATTGGCACATGAACAGACATATATGTCAATGGAATAGAATAGAGAATCCAGATACCAATCCAAATCACTGTGCTCAATATTTGACAAAGGAGGCATGAATATTTGACAAATGGAATCAAGACAGTCTCTTCAATAAATGGTGTTGGGAAAATTGGACAGATACATGCAAAAAAGTAAAACTAGATCATCAACTTACACCATACACAAAAATAAACTCAAAATGGATACAGAACTTAAACATGATGGGAAACCCTAAAAATACTAGAGGAATTCACAGGCAGCAAAATCTCAGACATATGCCGAAAGAACTTCTTCACTGATACTGCCCCTAGAGCAATAGAAGCTAAAGAGAAAATAACAAATGGGACTACATCAAAATAAAAAGCTTTATCACAGCAAAAGAAACTATCTACTAAACAACAAGGAATGCCACTGTATGGGAGAACATATTTGCAAATGTTATCATTGATAAAGGTTTAATCTCCAATATCTACAGGCAGCTTATACAGTTTAATAAAAGGAAGATAAATGATCCAATAAAGAAATGGGCTATGGACCAAAATAGAATCTTTTCAAAAGAAGACTGAAGAAATGCCAAGAAACACATGAAAGCATGCTCAAAGTCACTAATTATCTGAGACATGCAAATCAAAACGACAATGCGGTACCATCTTACACCGGCCAGAATGGCTATCATCAACAATCAACAAATGAGCTTCTTTCTGGGCCACCAGATTTTTTTTTTTTTTTGAGACCCAATGGATAAAAGGGAGAGATCAACCAAAGGACTTGCGTGCACATATATGATCCTAACCAGTGATCAAGGACAATAGGGGGGGTGGGGATCAAGTGGTGATATTATAATTGGGGGTTGATGACAAATATGTGATACCTTAATCAATAAAGAAATTAATTTTTTTTTAAATCAACAAATGACAAGTGTTGGCTAGGTTGCAGAGAACAAGGAACCCTCGTGCACTGCTGGTGGGAATGTAGACAGGTGCAGCCAATGTGGAGAACAGTATGGAATTTCCTCAAAAAACTGAAAATGGAACTCCCATTTGACCCAGTAATCTCACTCCTAGGAATATATCCTAAGAAACTGGAAACACCAATAAGAAAGATATATGCACCCCTATGTTCATAACAGCACAATTTACAATAGCCAAGGTTTGGAAACAGCCTAGGTGCCCGTCAGCAGATGACTGGATCAGAAAACTATGGCACATCTACACAATGGAATACTATGCTGCCATAAAAAGGAAGGAATCCTCACCATTTGCAGCAACCTGGGTGGAACTGGAGAACATCATGCTAAGTTAGATAAGCCAGTCAATGAAAGAGAAATACCACATTATTTCACTCATTTGTGGATAATAAAGAAATTTATAAACTGTTGAACAATAAGATAGATACAGTGACAGTAAAGTATCAAACAGAATGTCAAATTACAGCGGGATGGTTAGGGAAAGGTGGTTGAGATAAGAGATCAACCGAAAGACTTGTGTGCATGCATATAAGCATAACCAATGGACACAAAACTCTGGGGTGTGAGGGCATTTATGGAGGTGGGTTGGGGGGGAGGGCAATGGTAAGATATGTACACATATAATACCTTAATAAAAAATGAAAACAAAGGGGGAAAAAAGCAGAAGCTGAGCATTTTTTTTGTCCTGCAATAATTTGCATAATATGTTTGCATTCTGAAATTACTTTGATTTTTCCCTTATATTCTGAATCTATGACTTCAGGAAATACCATCAATTCTTTTAGCATATTTTCACTCTTTCCTAGGACTAAACCTGATATTCCTGGTGGCACAGGTTCCCAAATTCCTGTAGGAACAACTTGTCTAGCCATATCGGGGATCAGGGTGATTGTTATTGTGCTATTAAGACCAAAACCAGCATTTCTTTCTGGAGTGATTTGAAGGAAGGAATCTACTGTGGTCCTGGCAGGGTGTAAATTCCCCTTATTTAAAAATGGGGTTGGAGGGAGCCCCTCCAGCCATTTCCCTGCGGCTGTCCATTTCCTATAGTTTGATTTAATGGCTGTCCATTTCTATGAAATTCAGATTTATACTGATTGGCCCAATGATTCCCCTCCCTACATCCAGGACATAGTCCTGCATTACCTGATTTGGGCTGCAGAATGTTTATACCTTCTCCCCTTTAAGCATCACTTTTTGGTTGTTTACATTCCTTTTTAGTTTTTTTAAAAATATATTTTATTGATTTTTCACAGAGAGGAAGAGAGAGGGATAGAAAGTTAGAAACATTGATGAGAGAGAATCATCGATTAGCTGCCTCTTGCACACCCACTACTGGAGATGTGCCCGCAACCAAGGTACATGCCCTTGCCCGGAATTGAACCTGGGCCCTTTCAGTCCGCAGGCCGACGCTCTATCCACTGAGCCAAACCGGTCTCAGCTGTTTACATTCCTTTTTAAAATGTTCTTGTCCACAATTAAAACATAATTTGTTTCTTGTAATTGTGGCAGCTAGTAAGCTTCCCTGAAAAATGCCTGAACCCACATTCTGACATGGTGAAATCATTTCTGTGATGGTGCTATTTTTTCTTAGAGGTGTTAGACATTTCTTACAATGAGCATTGGCATTTTCATAAGCGAATTGCTGAGTCAAAATGTCTGTCTCACTGCTTGAGTGAGGTGAGCTACAAAACCAGATAATGATTCTGCGGGCCCCTCCATGAACTTACTTTCCCCTTTTGTTTCCCCTTTTGCTAGTAAAGTCCACCAGGCTTTTCTTCCACAAAGTCTAATTTGCTCATACACCTGTTGGATGTATTGGAGTTGATTTTGCAGGTCACTAAATTGTCCCTGTCCTGCAAGCATCTCAAAAGTTAGAAGAACATTCTGTCTGAGATTTGAAGAAGCTTTTTCTTGACATTTCTCTAAAAATTCTCCTTTCCATAACTAATAATCTCCTTGATCCAGTGTTGCATGGGCTAGAGAATACCAATCATAAGGAGCTAGGAATGCTTCAGAAATGTTACTAATAATTTCTCCAGTAAATGGAGCATCTGTGCCATTCTGTATTACACTATCACACAAGGCCTTTATTATTTTAAATTCAAATCTTTCATGCTGTCTCACTATTAGATTAGGGAATTGTGGATTAGCTACCTGTATGATAGAAAAAACAAGTCTATCCTCCACAGTCCAGTCATTTAATTTTTTTTTCTGATGGCTCTTTGCATAGGTGATTCTATTATTGGCAATTTAAATGTTTCAGAATCAGGACATGAAGGCCACCCCTTTCTGCTTCTCTTTAGAAGCGGAGGGTGCAAAAGGAGGAGGTCTTTCTTCTCTGAAAGATCCTAGCAAATGCAATACTGTTTCCCAAAAGGAGAAACAATTTGGAGGCAAATTTTTCCCCTGCTGCTGAGCTTCTTTCAAGTTCTGACATATCCATTCCCAACATTTAATATCCAATGTATCCACACCAGAAAACCATGGATTATATTCTATAATAATCTCTACAAACTGTAAAAGAATCTTCTGCAACTAAAACTCTTTTATATTTTAGTAAGCAAGCCAAAAGTTTACAGGAAAATCTTTCTTCTTTTGAAAAATTCTGCCCATTATGATCTGGCTGAAACAAGAGAAATACTTGAGCACTTGTGCATAGGGGGTTCCAAAGCTGACAAGAGTTTTACAGGCAGTTTATCTTCAACCACCAGGCCCAGTGATATTTTCCACTCTGGCGAATCCTTTTTTTTAAGTCCCTATTCAGGAGCACCAATTATGAAAAGCCATGGCCAGAGTAATAAAACAAGATGGTGGCATAGGTAAACAACTAATCTGCCACCTTGCACAACAATTCCAAAACTACAACTAAAAACCAAAACGTTTATCACCCAGAAGCACGGGAAAGCTGGCTGAAAGATAAAGGAGCACAAGCACTAAAATGCTGAAAAACCTAGGTACAGAGGCACGCGAAATGGGCTGATGGTGGGTGACTGGTTGTGTGGCTTTTTTCAACCCAAAGGGAAGCAAGCTCCTGATAACTTTGAAATCCAGTTTCTGGG